TCAACAGTGGGAGGGCTTCTAGTGTCCTGGCCCCACTGCTGGACCTCCTGATGGCCCCTGGTATTTCTGGCCACTGTGTGACAGAGTGTTGGACTGGATGGGCCATTGGCCCGATCCAGCCTTGGCTTCTCTCTTGCGTTTTTATTCTTCTAAAACATCTTGTGATCTGAGTTTGGGTTGTTTGAGTTTCTTGGGTTCTTTGCACGGCTTTGGAACACGTCGGCCTAACTGTGTCTCCCCCGCCCCCACGCAGGTTTTGCAGAGTTTTAAAATCATGGATTACAGTTTACTCGTGGCCATCCACAATCTCGATCAAGCCCAGCGGGAGCGGGCAGTCGTGGACGGGTCTTCCCACGCCGACACGCGGCGGCCGCCTCCCCAGAAAGCCCTCTACTCCACGGCCATGGAATCGATCCAAGGGGAGGCGCGGAGAGGCGGCACTGTCGAAACCGACGACCAGTAAGTCTGTGGCGGCTTTTGAGCTGAGGTGGGTGGAGGGGGGGCACCAGAGAGGGCCCGTAGCCAGGATTTTGTGGCTTGTGGGCAGTACCCCCTCCAAGCAGTGGAGTCCTGTGAGCAAAAATTCTACTTTGTGAGCTCCTGGCATTAAAGCTGTGGGCGAGCGATTCGGTTTCTGCAGGATCAATTAGTTTGCTCTGGAGCCCTCCTTCCTGAGCAGAGACAAAAATGTGTGAGCCGGGGGTTAAAAAACTATGAGCTAGCTCACACTGACTCGGCTTAGAGGGAACACTGGTCCTGAGCAATGCTCCCTCTAAGCTGTGGCGTCTTGTGAGCAAAAATTCTACTTTGTGAGCTCCTGGCATTAAAGCTGTGGGCGAGCGATTCGGTTTCTGCAGGATCAATTAGTTTGCTCTGGAGCCCTCCTTCCTGAGCAGAGACAAAAATGTGTGAGCTGGGGGCTAAAAAAGTGTGAGCTAGCTCACCCTCACTCAGCTTAGAGGGAACACTGCTTGTGGGGCAGATTTTTTCTGGTGGGGCTGAAGTTCTCAGTGCAGAAAGAAAAGCCATTTATCCAATAGGAAGCTGCTACCAGGATAGATCTCTAAATTGCAAGCTGTCGGCCACAGTTCTCAGCTGCTTGCAGGTTAATCACTTCTGCCAGCCTAAGCAACAATTCTGATAACAAGCCGGCAGGTGGGGGGGGGGGGGGGAGACTTCCGGGCGAGAAACGCTCTTAAAGGAGACCAGTTTCTTGACACAAGAGTTAGAAGGGGTCCTAGAGGTCACCTACTCCAACCCCCTTGGCTCAGGGTGGGCATTAATCAACTACAGCACCCCACTCTGCTTAAAGAAGTGCACACCTTTAATAAAATGTTTTAAAATGATTGAAACAATTGTTGTGGAGCTGTGCTTTAAGAAAGGGGGCAGAGCCCCCCCCCCCCAGCCTGGTGAATATCACCCCACTTGAACGCCAGATCGTTACCTGAGAGAATAAGCTGAAGCAAATCCGTGGGTTTGATTGCTTCCTGAACAAACATGAAGCCGCCTTCTATTGAATCAGACCCTCCTGGGTCCATCAAGGTCGGTATTGTGCACTCGGGCTGGCAGCCGCTCTCCAGGGTCTCAGGCCGAGTTCTTTCAGTCACCTTGCATGTAGACGGTCCCAGGCTCAGTCCCAGCCTTCTCCAGTTGAAAGGACCAGGGAGGAGGTGATGGGAAAGACCTCCGCCTGAGACCCTGGAGAGCTGTAAAGAGGGGCTGTGGCTCAGTGGAAGAGCCTCTGCTTGGCACGCAGGAGGTCCCAGGTTCCATCCCCGGCATCTCCACTTAAAAAGGACCAGGCAGGAGGTGATGGGAAAGACCTCCTCCTGAGACCCTGGAGAGCTGTAAAGAGGGGCTGTGGCTCAGTGGCAGAGCATCTGCTTGGCATGCAGAAGGTCCCAGGTTCAATCCCCAGCATCTCCAGTTGAAAGGACCAGGGAGGAGGTGATGGGAAAGACCTCCGCCTGAGACCCTGGAGAGCTGTAAAGAGGGGCTGTGGCTCAGTGGAAGAGCCTCTGCTTGGCACGCAGGAGGTCCCAGGTTCCATCCCCGGCATCTCCAGTTAAAAGGACCAGGCAGGAGGTGATGGGAAAGACCTCCAACTGAGACCCTGGAGAGCTGTAAAGAGGGGCTGTGGCTCAGTGGAAGAGCCTCTACCTGGCATGCAGAAGGTCCCAGGTTCAATCCCCGGCATCTCCAGTTAAAAAGGACCAGGCAGGAGGTGATGGGAAAGACGTCCGCTTGAGACCCTGGATAGCTGCTGCCAGCCTGAGCAGACAATACTGACCATGATGGAGCTACAGTCTGATTCTGTATAAGCCGGCTGCTGGAGGATCTGTATACCGAACCCTGTGGACTGCTGCCTGAATTTGTAGGGAGTTCTCTGATCATGCTCAGCTGAATTTGCCCCTGCACTTCGGGGATATCTGCAACCAACATGACATTATGTTGTCGAAGGCTTTCACGGCCGGAGTTCATTAGTTGCTGTGGATTTTCCGGGCTGTGTGGCCGTGGTCTTGGCATTGTAGGACCTGACATTTCGCCAGCAGCTGTGACTGGCATCCTCAGAGGTATAACACAGGAAGACGGAGTACTCTCTGTGTCGAGGTGAGAAGGAAAATGGTAGGCAGATCATTTATATCTACTCAGGAAGGTGGGGTAGGGCTGAGTCATTCTCTTGTAGGTATTCCCCAGGCTGTGAAAACATGCTAATGGAGGAGCTTTCCTGAGGAGGTTCTTTTGTATGTGGATTGGTTGTTGAAATTCTAATCTTATCTGTAGTGCTGTTGTCAGATACAAAAGGCTCTACATCCGACGATAGCACTACAGATAAGATTAGAATTTCAACAACCAATCCACATACAAAAGAACCTCCTCAGGAAAGCTCCTCCATTAGCATGTTTTCACAGCCTGGGGAATACCTACAAGAGAATGACTCAGCCCTACCCCACCTGCCTGAGTAGATGTAAATTACCTGCCTACCAATTGTCTTCTCACCTTGAGACACCTTGACCTCCGTCTTCCTGTGTTATACCTCTGAGGATGCCAGTCACAGCTGCTGGCGAAACGTCAGGTCCTACAATGCCAAGACCACGGCCATACAGCCCGGGAAATCTACAACAGCCAACATGACATTACTTTCTAAAAGCATGGCAGAGCTGCCATCTTGGCTGTTGTTCCAACTTGCCGTGCGTTCAGGCAGCCAGTGAGCCCAGCTGCCGGCATTCGGCCGACGTGTGGCTGCTTCCTAGCGAGTGGAGAATGCTCCTGGCCTTTGCGGGGTGACCCGTCAACTCAACGTGTCCTTGTTTGTCGCTTTCTCCCTTCTAGAATGGGAGGGATCCCCTCTCGAAACGCCAAGGGAGAACGGCTGCTCTTGTACATTGGAATCATAGACGTCTTGCAGTCTTACAGGTAAGGCCCGGTCTCCACTCTCCCCTGACGCTAGTCGTAGGCATGGGGGCCACATGGCTCTCGGCCAGGCGTTCAGCCCTGAGATGCCTGCCCCACATCCCATCGTGTGTGAGGAAAGTGCCTTCCGAGTCACAGCCAGCCCACAGCAGCCTCACTGGCTTCCCAGGGCAAGAGACGTTTAGCGGCGGTTAGACATCGCCCGCCTCTGCTCAGTAAATGGTCTCCCAACCAAGTCTTAACCAGGGCTGACCCCGCTGAGCTTCTGGGGTCTGATGAGCCTGGGTTGACCCAGGTCAGGACACACGTCCCCTCAGATTCGTCACAGAACTTTGACTCTGGCTCGCTGGTCCTTTCCTTTTGGACAGTTCCAAGAACTGGGCAAACCGGCTCTCTTTCTCTAGATCAGGGGTGGCCAAACTGTGGATCGGGAGCCGGAGGTGGCTCTTTCCCACCTATTGTGCGGCTCCCGGCAGGGCGGCTGGGGAAGCGAAGTATCATTAGCACGCAAATGACCAATGGACAAATAAGTATCATTATATCTGCTTTTTCTGCTTTTGTTATTATTTTTGGCAGTCTCATGTCATGTCAATGAAAAGCAAATTTGCATATTTCCCATTGAAAACGTGTAATATTTGTTCATGTCTTGCGGCTCTCAAACATCTGACGTTGATTCTGCGTGGCTCTTACGTTAAGCAAGTTTGGCCACTCCTGCTCTCAATCACCAAGGGGCTACCGGCTGCCTTGGTGTCGTGGTTAAGTGCGCGGACTCTAATCTGGGAGAACCAGCTTTGATTCCCCACTCCTCCACTCGCAGCTGCTGGATGACCTTGGGCAAGCCATAGTTCTCTCAGAGCTGTTCTTGGAAAAGAGCCGTTTCTCTCAGAGCTCTCTCAGCCCCACCTGCCTCCCAGGGTGTCTGTTGCGGGGAGGGGAAGGGAAAGGAGTTTGTCAGCCGCTCTGAGGCTCTGAGTGAAGGGCGGGGTACAAATCCAGTCTCTTCTTCTTCTTCTTCTTGTAAATTTTAGTCAAACCAGAGAAGAAAATCGGCCTGTCCCTGTCCCTCTTGGAAAAATAGAAATGTATTTCCAAGTTGTGTGAGAGAAGGAAAGAGATTCCTTTAACGTGAGGCTGCTCAAATGGACAGAGGAGGAGATGTCTGGCCGTGACTACTGTACGTGTTAAAGTGCTGTCAAGTCGCTTCCGACCTGTGGCGAGCCTGTGGATGAATGTCCTTCAAAATATGCTGTCATTAACGGCCTGGCTCGGGCCTTGCAAACCTTGTGGCTTTGTGGCTTCTTTGACTGAGTCAATCCGTCTTATGTAGGATCTGCCTCTTTTCCCGCTGTTGTCAACTTTTCAAACTTTTCCTACTGTTATTGTCCTTTCAAGTGACTCTTTGTCTTCTCATAAGGTGACCAAAATAAGATGGCCTCTGTTTAGTCATTCAGCAATGCTTACGAGCCGTAATTAAGATCACAGGGGAAAGGCCCTCCAGACTGGCCCACCAGTAAAAGAAGCTTGCCCGGAAGGCATACAAGGGCCTTTTTGGTGGTAGCCCCTCTTGGCCCCATCAATTTCAGTCTTCAGGAAGCAGCCTTATTTAGGCTTGTGTTTGGCTAATTTAGTTTTTTGTTGTTGTTTTGGCAGTCCTAGTTGGAGATTTTAAATCATGGTCTCTTACGTGCTTTTTAAAAATAAAACCATTGTTTCGTATATCTTGTAAGCCACCTTGAGTTCCACAAGGTAGAAAGGCAGGTAATAAGTGTTTTAAATAAATACATGAAGCTGCCTTATACTAAGGCCCGGGTCACACGTAAGGGTTTGGGCCGGGAGCAAATGGGCACAATCGCACCGCAACATCTGGGAAGCGGCGCGCACCCGTCCCCGATCCGGCCCTTCAGGCCGAAAACCCAAAAAGTACCACCCCTAGAGGTGGACTTACCAGAAAGGCTGCGTCAAGCGCGGCCGTGGGATCGCCGGCGTGTCCTTCTGCCGGCGCATCTGAGGCTCCTGGCCGAACTGCGCATGCTCACACATGCGCAGTTCGGCAGCTTCCCTCTCTGCTTCGTCGCTTTCTCCCCGGTCTCCCTGGCATCTGATCGTGCCGGGGAGCAAGTGCGCGGCGGCTCACAGATCTGTATGATCCCGCCGTTGCGTGCCTATTTGGGTGCGGCTTTCAAAGCCGCACTTTGCAGTCGCGCCGCGCGCCCCCCCCCCCCCCCCCGTGTGGCAGGGACCTAAATCAGGCTGTTGGTCTACTCCGACTGGCCATGGGTCTGCAGGGTCTCAGGTTGAGGTCTTTCCCATCACCACTTTACCTGATCCTTTTAACTGGAGATGCCGGGAATTGAACCCAGGACCTTCTGGCTCTTCCACTGAGACTCAGCCCCACTCCACCCCAATAAATGATGGAGGAAGGTCTAATGATTTCTTGTTCTGGTGTGTGTGTTTCTTTAAATGTTTAGTGTGACCGCAGTAATGTAAGGAGAGTTGATGGAGGGAGATAAGTGTGAAGTGACTGGCTGATGACTGAGAGTCTGGGAGGAAGGGTATCTATGAGGTGTTTCTGTGTGTGAAGTTTGAAGAGAGAGCATAGTTTTTGAGTCTATTCTGTGTGAATAAGACAAACAGTTTAGTCTGTGTGAATATGAGTTTTGAGTCTATTCTGCACGAATAAGGCAAAGAGTTTAGCCTGTGTGGCTATGTAGATGAGAGAGAGAGAGATTCAACTGAGTGTTTATGCCTGTCAGAGTGGAGTTTTGGGAGTTTGACTGTTTGTGACACCAAGCTTTGCCAGTTATATTTACGAGTTCCTTTCATCATCAGCAGTTCAAAATAAGCAGGAACCTATTTTGTTCTTTATTTAATAAATCAATTTTTGTTTAAACTTATCCCAGAAATCAGAATAGTCCTTCCTCAGGGCCACATAGTCCTCTGAAGTGCCCAGACCCTGGATCATTCTACCAAAAGAGAGAGATTTGGAATTTTTAATTCCTAGTGGCAGCAGAAATCTATCCAGTTCAGGTACACAGAGAGTATTTTAAAGGTGAAACCGTCTCCCCAATAAGCAGAATGCCATAGAGGGGAAGTTCCATGTTCTGGAGGCAGTCTGTACCTCTGAACCCAGCTGCTTTGGCAAGTTCCAAAGAGCATCTGCCTGACTCTTCTGTTTGGGAATTCTGTCTCTTGCGATGCCTTTATTTGCATCTTCCCAAGAAAAGCATCTTGATTTTTGGACTGCAGTACCTGGTTTTTGAATAAAACCCCTCGAGGCCAGCGATAAAGCCGAGGCCTTCTCCTGATAAGAACCTCAGAAGAGCCCTGCTGGATCAGACCAGCGAGGGTCCATCCAGTCCAGCCGCCTGCCTCACACAGTGGCCAACCAGTTCCTCTGGAGGGCCAACAACAGGGCAGAGAGGCCGAGGCCTTCCCCTGAGAAGAACATCAGAAGAGCCCTGCTGGGTCAGACCAGTGAGGGTCCATCCAGTCCAGCATCCCGTCTCACACAGGGGCCAGCCAGTTCCTCTGGAGGGCCAACAACAGGGCAGAGAGGCCGAGGCCTTCCCCTGAGGAGAACACCAGAAGAGCCCTGCTGGATCAGACAAATAGTCCATCTAGCCCAGCATCCTGTCTCACCCAGTGGCCAATCCATTCCTCTTGAGGCTCAACTACAGGGCAGAGAGGCCAAGACCTGCATAAGAACATCAGAAGAGCCCTGCTGGGTCAGACCAGTGATCCATCCAGTCCAGCATCCTGTCTCACACAGTGGCCAACCAGTTCCACTGGATGATCAACAACAGGGCACAGCAGCCAAGGCCTTCTCGTGGTGATGCCTCCTGGCTCTGGGATTCAGAGGCTTAGCGCCTCTGAATGTGGAGGTTCCTTTCAGTCACATTGGCTAGTAGCCACTGATAGATGTCTCTTCCATTGAATCTATCCTCCATTAATCTACCTAACCCCCTTTTAGAGCTGTTGATTCCTGTAGCCATCACGATGTCCTCTGGCAGCGAATCCCACATTTTAATCACTCTCTGTGTAAAGAAGTCTTTCCTTTTGTCTTTCCTGAACCTACTGCCCATCAGCTTCATTGGAGGCCCCGGGGTTCTAGTAATTTTTGGGAGAGGGTGAAGAATTTCTCCTTGTCAGCTCCCTCGTTTTATATACCTCCCTCTTTTCCATTGGTGAGGACGAAAGGGGAGGCTCCCCTTCACACAGGAAGTCATTAAAGCTGACGCAGCAGTCCTGGCGGGCGAGCCCTTTCGGAACAGGTTCCTGCACGAGGCGAGGCGGTTGTGCCCAGGGAAAAAGGCAGGAAAGGATGGGGAGAGGCGGGCAGGCAGCAGGCAGCGGCTTGCCAGGGCCAGGCATTTTTGATGACGAGGGCTGTTTGCGAGATGTTTCTGTGGCGCCAGGAGAGCCAACCACGCATTTGGAGGTTCAGGTTAATTTACTTCAAAGTTGTTGGGCGGTTTTTTTTGTGTGTGCGCGCATTATGAATAATTGCCTTGGAAAAGGGACTTAATGGGAATTGCTTGCGTTGGAGAAGGGAAAGCTGGGCTAATTAAAAAAAGAAAAAGACCTTGCTGTTGTAAAACAAAACCCCATATTTAGAAGAAGCACACTCCTAAGATTAGGAACAGAAATATTGGAGTCGTAGTAGATAACTCACTGAAAATGTTGAGACAGTGTGCGACTGCAATAAAAAAGGCCAACGCTGTGCTGGGGATTATTAGGAAGGGAATTGAAAACAAATCAGCCAGTATCATAATGCCCCTGTATAAATCGATGGTGCGACCTCATTTGGAATACTGTGTGTGCAGTTCTGGTCACCACACCTCAAAAAGGATATTATAGCACTGGAAGAAGTACAGAAAAGGGCAACTAGAATGATAAATGGGTTGGAACACGTTCCCTATGAGAAAAGGTTAAAGCACTTGGAGCTCTTTAGCTTGGAGAAACGATGGCTGAGGGGTGACATGATCGAGGTTGATAAGACAATGCATGGGATAGAGCAGGTAGAGAAAGCGGTACTTTTCTCCCTTTCTCACAATACAAGAACTAATGGGCACTCAATGAAATTGCTGAGCAGTCGGGTTAGGACGGATAAAGGGAAGTACTTCTTCACCCAAAGAGTGATTAATGCATGGAATTCACTGCCCCAGGAGGTGGTGGTGGCTACAAGCACAGAAGGCTTCAAGAGGGAACTGGATAAACGTATGGAGCAGAGGTCCATCTGTGGCTATTAGCCACAAGGTGTAGATAGGAACTCTCGGTCTGGGGCAAGGGATGCTCTGTATTCTTGGTGTTTGGGGGGGGCAGCAGTGGGAGGGCTTCTAGTGTCCTGGCCCCACTGCTGGACCTCCTGATGGCACCTGGTATTTTTGGCCACTGTCTGACACAAGAAGAAGAAGAGATTGGATTTATACCCCGCCCTTCACTTGGAGTCTCAGAGCGGCTTACAAACTCCTTTCCCTTCCTCTCCCCACAACAGACACCCTGTGAGGCGGGTGGGGCTGAGAGAGCTCTTGACAGAAACTGCTCTTTTTTCAAGGACCGCTCTTATCAGAACTATGGCTTGCCCAAGGTCATCCAGCAGGTGCAAGTGGAGGAGTGGGGAATCAAACCCAGTTCTCCCAGATTAGAGTCCGCACACTTAACCACCACACCAAACTGGCTCTCAGAGTGTTGGACTGGACGGGCCATTGGCCTGATCCAACATTAGCTTCTCTTACGTTATTATGACCTTGGGCCAGTCACACCCTCTCAGCTAGACCTACCTCACAGGGTTGTTGTGAGGATAGAATGGAGATGTGAATGATGTGACCTGCTCTAGGTGGGATATAAATAAAGTGAAATAAAAATGGACAGGATGTGCAGTGACCAGTTCCTAACGTTATCCAGTGGGGAGTGGCTTGATGGGTGAATCCCACTCCATGACTTCATCCAGCTGCTCACTGGGTACCCCCCCCCCCCCCGTTTCTGAACAAGTGGTACAGCGGTTAGAGGATCGGAGACCCCGATTCAAATTCCCGCTCCGCCATGGAAGCTTGTTGGGCGAGCTCAGTCCAGTTGTTGCCTGCCCAGCCTACCTCACAGGGTGGTTGTTAGGCTTATAATGGAGGAGGGGATAAAGACGAGTCCCCGTCCAGGAGAAAAGTGGGGTTTAAACAGCTAAATGGATGACGCTACTGAAGAGAAGAAGAAGAGATTGGATTTATACCCCGCCCTTCACAACTCAAGGGAGTCTTAGAGCAGCTTACAAACTCCTTTCCCTTCCCCTCCCCACAACAGACACCCGATGAGGCAGGTGGGGCTGAGAGAGCTCTTTCGAGGACTGCTCCTGAGAGAACAGCTCTTATCAGAGCTACGGCTTGCCCAAGGTCATCCAGCAGGTGGAGGAGTGGGGAATCCAACCCAGTTCTCCCAGATTAGAGTCCGCGTACTCAACCACTACACGAAACTGAAAAGCAGCAGCTGGATCCTCAGTTAGTGCTTTTTAAAGTCAGCATAACGATCTGACCAACTTGGAGCAGACAAGCTGGTCTTCTTAGGATCATAGGATGTTAGAGTTGGAAGGGACCTTGCAGGTCATCTAGTTCAACCCCCTGCACTCTGCAGGAGCACAGCCGAAAGAGATCCCTACATACCTACAACATGCCCAAAAGATGGTCGTCCAGCCTCCGCTTGAAAACGTCCAGCGAAGGAGCATCTGCCACCTCCCGAGGCAGTCTGTCCCACTGCTCAGCCACTCTTACAGTTAGGAAGTTTCTCCCGATATTTACCCGGTATCGACTGCCTTGTAACTTCCACCCATTAGATCTGGTCTTGCAATCCGGAGCAAGAGAGAACAGATCCGCTCCATCTTGGTGGAGCCTTGACGGGCCTGCTGAAATGAAGTGTACGTTGCAGGGCTCCGGGTGCTTGACCAACTGGCAATGGAGGGGGACGCAAAGAGTGAGATGGGGGGTGGGTGTTTTCCTTCACATGCTCTCTTCCACTGCTTGCCCTCCCCCAAGAGCACTCTGTTTTGAAAGTCCTCCTTTCCCCCATCTTCTCAATTCTTCTTTTTCAGGTTCATGAAGAAGCTGGAGCATTCCTGGAAGGCGCTCGTCCACGATGGGGTGAGCAGCTGGAACTCCCCGTCTCTTGCCCCCCCCCTTGCCTTAAAAAGCACCGGGATCTTTCCGAAGGGGGTCCGCAGCGTGCCTCTGACGGGGGCACCCCCCTCCCTCCCCACCTGCCCGGACACCCACCTGGCTTCTCCACTCCTGTTGCATCGTGTGTGTTTAAGACCAGTCCGGAGCAGGAGCTGAGCTGGTCTGGGGAGGAGGGTTCCCGTTCTCTGGGCCCGTCCTGTGAGGGGGGAGTTCTGTCGGGCGGGTGGCCAAGAGAGGCTGGGGCATCTCCTCTTAAAATGAGGGTGCTGAGCTTGGCTTGGTTGGCTGACTTAAATCTTCTTCCTCCTCCTCTTCTTCCTCCTTCTCTTCCTCCTCCTCCTTCTCTTTCCCCTCCTCTTCTTCTCCTCTTCCTCCTCTTCTTCCTTTGCTTCCTCCTCCTCTTCTTCCTCCTCCTCTTCTTCCTCCTCCTCCTCCTCCTCTTCCTCCTTCTCTTCTTCTCCTCTTCCTCCTCCTCTTCCTTCACTTCCTCCTCTTCTTCTTCTTCCTCCTCCTCCTCTTCTTTCTCCTCCTCCTCTTCTTCTTCCTCTTCTTCCTCCTCCTCCTTTTCCTCCTCCTCTTCTTCCTCTTCCTCCTCCTCCTCTTCCTCCTCCTCTTCCTCCTCCTCTTCCTCCTCCTCTTCCTCCTCTTCCTCCTCCTCTTCTTTCTCTTCTTCCTCCTCTTCCTCCTCCTCTTCTTCCTCTTCCTCCTCCTCTTCTTCCTCTTCCACCTCCTCCTCTTCCTCCTCCTCCCACTCTTGCTCTTGCTCTGCAAAGGCTTCTGATTGGCCCCTGGAGATTTGACTAGCTGTTCAGACTTTTTAAAACACTGCTTTGGCAGCAGCTGCCGCCACAGCACAAGGATCTCCACGGTGTGACTGTCAGTCAGCTGCAGCGGCCGTTCTGTGGTTGGCCCCACCTCCCGTGGCCGCCATTTTGTGGCAGTCAATATTGCGGCTGTGCCTACCGTGGCGTGTCAGGATTCCGGAGGCGTCCACGAGCTCGAAAAGGTTGGGGACCCCTTCCCAGGGGTCTGGTTCAGTGTGAGGCAGTCCCACGTGTTCCATGAGTGCTCTGGGGCGAGGGGGAAAGGGAGAAATGAGCTGGGAAAGCAGAGGACCGATCTATCCAATTGATCTGATCGATCTATTGGTATGATCTGGTATGGAGAATCCATCTGGGGTTTCCGGGTGCCTGGACAGCTGGCCGGGGCCACACTAAGCTGGGTGAGTGTGAGCTAGCTCACAGTGTTTTAGCCTCTGGCTCACACATTTTTGTCTCCGCTCAGGAAGGGGTGGCTCCAGAGTAATGTTCCCTCTAAGCTGTGGAGTCTTGTGAGCAAAAAATCTACTTTGTGAGCTCCTGGCATTAAAGTCGTGAGCGAGCGATTTGGCTGCTGCATAAATTAGTTTGCTCTGGAGCCCTCCTTCCTGAGCCGAGATAAAAATGTGTGAGCCGGAGGCTAAAACACTGTGAGCTGGCTCACACTCACTCAGCTTAGAGGGAACACTGCAAGTCCAGAGCGAACTCATTGATGCATCCGCCCAATCGCCCGCTCACGACTTTAATGCCGGTAGCTCACAAAGTAGAATTTTTGCTCATAGGACTCTCCACAGCTTAGAAAGAGCATCGCTATTGTGCCATTAAAGGTTCCTTTCTTCTATAGTGCCTGCAGGCACCCTTGGAATTCTGAAACGGCGTGGTGGGGGCAACCACAAAATGGCTGCCGCAGGAGGCGGAGACAGCCACAAAATGGCTGCCGCAGCTTACCTTCACTCTTACAGATTCCTGATGCAATAGCTGCTGCCAAAGCAATGTTTTTTTTAAAAAAAAATCCTCAACCAATCAGTGTCAGGACCCACAGCAAACAACGAAGTACACGCTTCTGAGAAGGTTTTACTTTTATTGAAAAGCTATAGATGCAGTAACATGAGCACTGTTAAGAATGGCAGACTACCTATGCGCATAATAGGATATAGGGCATTCGTATGCGCCCCCCCACGCATTACCCAATTAGGTGGACTCCCGCGCACGGGAGATGGCAAGGCTGTCTAACGGGCGCGAAGCTGGGAACGAAGAAGCTCCCACGGAAGATAGACACCACAACCCCCTCCAGTAACTCTTTACAGATAAGCGTTGCAGCTGAGAAGCAATTAAGCGCATGGGAAGGAATGCAAAGCAATTAGAAGGCCTCTCCACACTCACGGCAGCTTAGCTGACAATCAGAGACCTTGGTGAGCAAAAGCTCTACTTGACCCCGCCCACTGCCTTTAAACACTCAGGAGGCACCGGGAAAGGATTGGGAGGCGCCACCCATGACGCCCATGGGCACCACGTTGGGGGGCCCTTGGCCTAACCCTTGCTCTTGATGGTTGTCAGAATGAAATGAACGGGAAGCGCAGCGTAAGAGCTAAATGGACAAACACACCACCGTGTAAAAAGGCTTCGCCAAACGTCAGCTACACCTTATTGCACCGTTCAATAAACATATGTTATGTATAAAAAGAATACTTGTTTATGACTTCTTGAAAATGGCGGCTGATCAGCTCTGTAAGACACCCTCCCATACCCTCCCAGACGAACTGAGCCGAACACGTCTTTTCCTTCAGCAGTCAGTTCCTTTGCTCTCCCTTCAGTACTGAGACTCCCCCTCCCCCCCCCGTAGGGGATTTTTTAATTGCACTTTCTACAAACCACAACGAAATTAGGAAGGGGATCTACAAACTATGGGAGAAAGTAAAGAAAACCCACTAAAACCCCAAGAGACGGTGGTCATACATACTGCTTAACAAATTAGCTTTTAACTCAACGTTCGATTCAAGTTCATTGAATGTGGTCACCTAATAATCTGTTTGAACTAAAGTAAACATTTAAACACCACCGTTTCTAACTTCTTAAAGAGCAAGATAAGAAATAGTTATGACAAAACATTGTAAGAGGTTTCAGAGCGCAATAACATCTCATCTTTTGTACTTTTTCTTTCTCAAGTGGTAGCTTGTCTTTGGGGCTGCCCCCCCCCCCCCGTTTAGAGTCTGAGTCCTCGTCTGAAGATGCCGCTGCTCCCTCTTCTTCTCTTTCTTTGCTGCTGTCTCCTTCCTCCTCCTCTTCTTCTCCCGCTAGACGACTATGTTGATGCAGAAATTCACGTGCCTTTTCAGCAGAGTCAATTTTTTCTTTCTTGTCCGTAAATTTGAAGATCATGCCTTCCAGTACAATCCATCTGTAGGGAATGTTGTTCTTCTGTAGAAATAAGACCAAGTACTGAGACTTGATGGGGTACAGCAGACCGCTGAAGAGCTGGAAACTGACTGAATTTGGCCAGCTGTGTTTTGAACCCGTGCGAAGTTTCTGGTGGTCAGCTTTTGACCCTTCAGCCCTTGACAGACTCTCTGCTTCTCTTTTGCAGGATACGGTGTCGGTTCACAGGCCCAGCTTCTACGCAGAACGGTTCCAGCGGTTCATGTGTAACATGGTGTTCAAGAAAATCCCCTGTAAGTTGTCTCCTTGAGCAGACGGTGTGACTGTAGCCTTTTGGGTCCGTACGCGGGTGCTCCTAGATGACCCCCTTCCCACCCCATGCTAGGCCTCATCCTGTCCTCCATTGGCCCAGGGGAAATCCTGATTCCCAACAGAAACAACTGCCACCTTTGGACTGTGCAGTATGTCAGCAGGCCCTAAGGCACACGCCTTCACAACTCCTAGTTTGCTCTGGAGCCATCCTTCCTGAGTGAAGACAAGAATGTGTGAGCCGGAGGCTTAAAACTGTGAGATAGCTCACACTAACTCAGCTTAGAGGGAACACTGCTCACAGGATGTCTGTGGTTGGAGGGGAAGGGAAAGGAGATTGTAAGACGCTCTGAGACTTCAAGTGAAGGGCGGGATTATAAACCCAATCTCCTCCTCCTCTTCTCTTCTGTCTTATTTCTGGTGACAAATAAAGACAACTTGTGGTGGACGTCTAATGTGTGCTTTTTCTCTCCTCATAGTAAAACCGTCCCCTTCGAAAAAGAGTCGGTCTGGCGTCGCAGCTCCTCGGCGGTTGGGCCAGAGCGGAGCCCCTTCCCAGACGCAAGCAACGTGCGACACAAAAGCGCAGGTCACGACGGAGGCCGAGGTGGAGCCAGGTACCAGCGAGGGTGTAAAGAGAGGGCCCCGCCTTCAGGCCGGACAGCAGGGCAGGAAGCCACCCGTGATGCACTGGGTGCTGGGCTGCACCACTGCAAGTGTTTTTTTGGGGGGTGAAATATGCTTAAAGGGTCCCCTTCATGAAATACTCCCCCCCTTTCCCTCCACGCACGCAGCTAACCTGTTGGGGAGAAGGTTCTCACACAGTTCTGGGGTGGGTCACTGCAAGAGGGGGTGTGACAGATGCCCGTTGGGGCTTCTGTTTCTCTACCCCAGCTCTTGGTTTCATACCATCGTCTCCTCGTGGTGGGGAAGCCTGGGGGGGGGGGGACCGAACAAGGGGAATGCAGAGTGTTGTGCGTGGTTCCCCCCGCCCCCGCCGCCCTGGGTTTCACCACCACAGGGAGACATCAGTATAGCTCTTGGCAAGAATCCACATGCAGCAGACAATCCAACGGGATGAGCTCTGGAATTCCTGCACAGTATCTGAGATCCATCGTCGCCAAAGAGAGAAGGGGGAAGAGAAAGGCAGTGCTGCTGGAAGGCTTTAAGCTGTCATAAGCCCACCATTGTTGAGATTTACACAAAACCCAGGGCTTTTTCTTTAAAATAAATAACCAACAACTACTTGGCCTTCTGACAGCAGCCCCCGCTGTGGCGTCCTTGCTTATTGGGGAGACAGTTTTACCTTGGAAGCACTCTCTGTGTGCCTAAACTTGGTAGATTTCTGCTGCCACCAGGAATTAAGAATTACAAATTTCCCTTTTTTGGTAGAATGACCTAGTGTCTGGGCACTTCAGAGGACTATGTGGACCTGAGGAAGGACCACTCTGATTTCTGGGATAAGTTTAAACAAAAATGATTTATTTAATAAAGAACAAAATAGGTTTCTGGTTATTTTGAACTGTTGCTGGTGAAAAACGGTCAAACTCCCAAAACTCCACTCTGACAGGCGTAGACACTCAGTCTAATCTCTCTCTCTCTCTCATCTATATAGCCACACAGGCTGAACTCTTTGTCTTATTCACACAGAATAGACTCAAAACTCATATTCACACAGACTAAACTGTTTGTCTTATTCACACAGAATAGACACAAAAATTCCCTTAGTCTTACAGACTATGCTCTCTCTTCAAACTTCACACACAGAATCACTCTCATAGACACTCCTCCTCCCAAACTCTCAGTCATCAGCCAGTCACATCACACTTGTCTCCCTCCATCACTCTCCTTACAGTACTGCAGTCACACTAAACATTTAAAGAAACAACATGAAATCATTATACCCGGCCACCTTCAGCGGCCGCAGGAGCTGCGTAGCTGAGCTGCATAATCCTCGCAAAATCGCCTGTGCCTGACAAATCCCTTTGCCTGTCTTCCTCTCCCAGGTTCCCAGCTGGGCCGCCCGGACCTTCTCCCCCAGACGCCTCCCGTAGATGAAGCTAACAGTGACTCTGCAGCCACCACGCTGTCCACCTCTTCCTTGGGGAGCAGAGGCTACAATTCCCCAGCCAACAGGTAAGCCTCCGCCAGGACTCTCCGGTGCATGGAAGGGGCTGTGTTGCCTGCCGTCGCCCCAGGCCTCCCTCGAGTTTTCCTGCGTGTCTGTCTTGCACGTTTCTGAAAGGCCTGCTGCATGTTAAGGGTGGCAGGATCCGAATTGCAAGCTGTCAGCCACAGTTCTCAGCTGCTGCAAGTTATCACTTCTGCCAGCCTAAGCAACAGTTCTGAGAACAAGCCGGCAGGTAGGGGGCGGTGACTTCTCTAGTCAAGAAAGCTAACACTTAAGTAGAGAAACTCTCTTAAAGGAGACCGGTTTCTTGACACAGAGTTAGAAGGGGTTCTAGAGGTCACCTACTCCAACCCCCTTACTCAGGGCAGGAATTCGTCAACTACAGCACCCCACTCTGCTTTGAGAAGCACACACCTTTTTAAAAAATGTTTTAAAATGATTGAGGGAAAAGCATTGACAGGAGAAATTCTTGTGGGGCTGTGCCTTTAAGAAAGGGGGCAGAGCCCCCAAAAGCTCCGCTGTAGCTACGGGCCTGGCGAACATCACCCCACTTGAACTCCAGATCGTTACCTGAGAGAATAAGTTGAGCCACTGTTGGCTTCAACTTGGAATTAGAGGAATATACCGAGGCATGGCTCTGTGTGTGTGTTCGCGCATGTGTTTCTTACACGATCCTGCCGCCCAAGGCAAGATACGGCTTCTGAAGAATCCTGGCTTTTAACTTTTAGCTAAAGCAAGTTTCCGGTCCTGTTGTTGGCGGATGAGATTGGAAGTTTAAGGGACAGGATTTGCACGAGCGGAGAGACGGAGCTTGTCTGCCCTGAGTGGCTTTCTCCCTTTTTGGCTTAGACCGTAATAGCGTAAGAGAAGCCATGTTGGATCGGGCCACTGGCCCGTCCAGTCCCACACTCTGTGTCAGACAGTGGCCAAAACCCGGGGGCCATCAGGAGGTCCCCCAGCGGGGCCAGGACTCCAGAAGCCCCTCCCACTCTTCCCCCAAGCACCAAGAAGACAGAGCATCACTTGCCCCAGACAGAGTGTTCCATTTAGATCTTGTGGGTAATAGGCACTGATAGACTTTGCTCTTAGGAACATAAGAGAAGCCCATGTTGGGTCAGGCCAATGGCCCATCCAGTCCAACAGTCTGTGCCACACAGTGGCCCAAAACCCAGGGGCCATCAGGAGGTCCAGCAGTGGGGCCAGGACTCCAGAAGCCCTCCCCCTGTTGCCCCCCCAAGCACCAAGAAGACAGAGCATCACTTGCCCCAGACAGAGTGTTCCATTTAGATCTTGTGGGTAATAGGCACTGATAGACTTTGCTCTTAGGAACATAAGAGAAGCCCATGTTGGGTCAGGCCAATGGCCCATCCAGTCCAACAGTCTGTGCCACACAGTGGCCCAAAACCCAGGGGCCATCAGGAGGTCCAGCAGTGGGGCCAGGACTCCAGAAGCCCTCCCCCTGTTGCCCCCCCAAGCACCAAGAAGACAGAGCATCACTTCCCCAGGCAGATTGTTCCCTGCATACCTTGTGGCTAATAGCCACTGATGGACGTCTGCTCCAGATGTTGATCCAATTCCCTCTTGAAAGCCGTCTGTGCTTGTAGCCGCCACCAATTCCTGTGGCAGTGAATTCCACATGTTAATGACTCTTTGGGTGAAAAAGGGCTTCCTTTTATCCGTTCTCTCTGTTTTATCTGTCCTTTGCTCTGTTCCATTTATCTATTATCTGGCTTCTCGAATTGGGATAGTGGAGCACATTTGAGTAAATTGTCATATGCGTTGGTTTTTCCATGCCACAGAATGAGAACTTCTGTGCCGGTCTGTCGGCGGTTACTACCACCCTGATCAGCAGCTAGTTCTCACAGGTGACGGCTTTAGGGGGAAAAAAGAGTGAAGTGCCACAGGGCAGGCCAGAACATAACAGGGTGCGCCAGGGAACTTACTATCCAGCCCAGTTTGGCCGGGGATCCTGGAGGGTTTCCCCCCCCCCCCAATCTTCTGGGCATGGAGCAGGGATCACTGGGTTTGTGTATGGGGGGGGAGGTATTTGTGCATTTCCTGTGTTGTGCAGGGAGTTGGACTAGATGACTCTGGAGGTCCCTTCCAGCTCTCTGATTCTCTGATTCTAAGCTTTTGAGAATCAAACACTGCGGGAGCTTTGACTCTCGCAAGCTCATACCCTGAAAACTGCGTTGGTCCCTAAGGCGCTGCTGGACTTGAATCCGGCTCTTCCTTAGAAATGCTGGTTCCTAATTTCCAAAAGAGCCGTTTCTAGGCTTTGCGGAGGGCCGTGACAGCTGGAATCTGGCCAGCAGTAGGGTTGGACGCTAGCGCCATGGGACTGCCAAAGGGCCTGTTGGAGTTTTGCTCTTCCCTCTGCCTCTTCCTCATTCCCACCCCCTGTGCAAGGAGGATCAGTACTGCAGACTTCCTCCCCAACCCTTAAGATCTCCAGAGTTTGGTCATTCACGTGGCAGTGAAGGGCGAGGGAGGAGGACACGGCTCCCACTCCAGGTCCCGCTTCCAATAGAGACAGATTCAGGGAGGAAAGGCCCACCGGTACTGGGCTACTAGCCTTGGTGACTAGCGAGAACCTCCACATTCAGAGGAACTGAACCTCTGACTCCCAGGGTCAGGAGGCAACATCAGGCCCCTGTGTGAGACAGGAGGCTGGACTAGAGGGACCCTCACTGGTCTGACCCAGCAGGGCTCTTCTGAGGTTCTTCTCAGGGGAAGGCCTCCCTGCCCTGTGGTTGGCCCTCCAGAGGAACTGATTGAGGCCACTGAGACAGGAAGCTGGACTAGATGGACCCTCCCTGGTCTGACCCAGCAGGGCTCTTCTGAGGTTCTTCTCAGGGGAAGGCTTCGGCCTCTCTGCCCTGTTGTTGGCGCTCCAGAGGAACTGGTTGAGGCCACTGTGTGAGACAGGAGGCTGGACTGGGTGGACCCTCACTGGTCTGACCCAGCAGGGCTCTTCCGAGGTTCTTCTCAGGGGAAGGC